CTGTAGGTGACCTTCCTCAGGCAGGGGGGTTGGACTGGGTGATCTCCAGGGGTCCCTTCCAACCCTGACCATTCTGTGATTCCATGGGTAGTGAATACATTCAGTATGACAGATTAATATAAGAATTTGCCTTTGTATGCCCATTTCCACCCTCTGGCAGGTGACTTAGTGTTGTGTGCCAGGAATGTCAGCAAGTACTGTAAGAACTGCTGCTGTCTGCTCTTGGTGAACCGAGATTTTTAAAATGGAAGGTGTGGTGTCATCTGTTTTTCACACTACTTTATGGTCACATCTTCGGCTATTTGCGTGTATTTGTGTCCATGCAACTGCAGGACATCAGTTGGTTTTAGAGTCAAAGCAGCAATCTAGAAATGAAAGCCGTTAGTATCGTGGCCATTTCTTCACACTACTCCCCTGCCCCATCCCTCCCAAATCAAATAAATCTGGTTTTGCAGAAAGCAGACTTGAATCTTGCACAGCAACTTCTGGAGCGCTGAATGAGACAGCTACTTAAAGGCAGACATCTGATTGTAGATAGCTCTTTAAGCCAGCAGGCTGGCATGCAGCAGCTGAAGCTAGCTAATTGTAGATCAGATATGGGAAGCAGATAGCAAGAGTAACTAACCAGCTGAACAGCAGCTGCAGTGGATCCTCAGTGCTGAGGTTTCTAAATCTAAAGCAGATTATCTTTCTAGGAGGACTGCAGCACTGTCACTTCAAGTCTTTGAAAGGTTCCTGTAATACTATGGCTTGTAATATGTGATCCTCCTGACTGGCCACACACAACGGTTATTTTTAGTCTTTGATTATGAAAGTCCTGCACACGCTCTGCTAACAAGAACTGTCCCTAATCATAGATGGTATCTTCCTGCTGTATATTGTATGCTCAGCTTTAAAATAAGCATGGTTCTGACTTGCGCTAAAAAAAAACTCGTGCAGAAATTCTGGAAAACTGATGCTGCTTATTAAGGCACAATAAACAGATAAAAGAAAACTGTCGTAGTGTAACAAATCTCGTTCCTTAAACTTGAGGCACAATCCGCAGATCCCGCTAGCTCAGTGCGTGAAATTTTGAGCTTAAGGATAACACCAGACTTTTGTTGCTGATTGTAGCAGGTCATGCAGCTGCGCTGGCCATCTTGGAGACACCGAAGGAAATACATTGCATAGAGCTGCTGAAGCAAGTGCATTCCCCTAGAGATTTAACTGTAGTTTGATATATCACTTTGTAAGTAAATCCCTGAAGAGCAAGAAACCAATTGCACTGTTAAAAGCCTTGTATTATAAAACAGAAGGAGTGAGAGAACTGTACCTGCAGAGGTTAATCTTCAGCACAGGAATTTAAATGAACTCATTTAAAATCAACTTACAAATTAGCTCATTAAAATGCAATGCTGCAGATCCAGAAGTTGGTTGATCTGGCATGCCACTTCTATGAAGAAGTGACTTAAGAAATGGAGAACAAATTGATAGTATTAAAACTCCCTTTTTCTTTCCAGTCCCATAAACCCTCATTTGTAACTCCCTCTTCCTTGAACTCTGTATCAACAGCACTTTTTGTTTAGTGAATTAAGCTTGTTTGATCCTGTGTGACAACTGCTCTGTAGTATCACTAGCCTCTTGTAATGAAATGTGTCTGTACACGCTTGTGCCCTCCCACACGCGTAGGAACTCTGTAATAGAGGCTCCGGTGCACTGATCACAGCAACGATCATTTTCACTTATTATTTTGACAATGAGCCTCTACCAGCTGCTGGCTGTAGTGGGGTTTATTTCCTAGTGGTTAAATTCTGGATAATCGCACTGCTCTCTACTACTGCCATTCAAGTAATGGTATTGTTTCGGGGGAGGAGGGGAAAAAAAGACCCAAATGAGTTCTGATATAATTATATAGAGCTGTTCAGAATATTTTTATGTAACTACTGATGCCAGTGATTAAAACTGGCCTTACACTTACAGCTTTTCAGTTGGTTCTTACACATTCCAGAGGCACATAGTAGGCAATACAGAAAATAAAAATATAAAGAATTTACATTCCAGCTGTATATTCTGCAATAATATATATATGTGTGTGTACATATATACAGAGAGAGAAACTCCAAGTACAAAACCAATTAATTAGTAAATTTTAAGCTAACCTCACTAAAGCCCCCATCCAAAAAAATGCGTAGGG